AAGTGACGAGTAGAGTGAAGAGAGTGAATGAAAGTACAAATATCTTTCTTGTAAACATATTGAATGAGTAAGAGAGAGAGAGAGAGACTTAAAATGTAAAACCACTTTTTTATATTATTTTTATTATCATTCGCTGTGACTCTTTTAAGCAGTGATAATAATACCTGTTATTGCTGCTGGTAATACTATTATTGTTATTACATGTCACTCACTCTTGTATTTGCATCATAAACTCCGCCGCCCTTTTATTATCCCTTTTTATTATCCCTCTTTATTATATCCCTTTTTATTTAAACAAAAGCCATGTCATACGACACAAGTACACAACAGCAATGGGGTGTTACTCCACCTATTTCAATGGCCCCACCAACTGATTACGAAAAGAAGTTGACTGAAGACCTTGTAAAGATCTTGCATCAGTATGATTTATTTGAGAGTAGCGAGGAGGCACAGAGAAGGTGAATATATTGCTTATATATAAATATATGAAACTACAAACTATATATATATACATATATATATATATATATATTTACATTTTACTCTATAGAACAGTTGTATTGGATAAACTCGACAAGTTGGTAAAGGAGTTTGTGTATCGTGTGTGTATACAGAAGGGTCTTCCTGAGAGTGTAGCAAGGGAAGCAGGTGGAAAGATATTTACCTTTGGTAGTTATAGACTTGGTGTTCATAGTGCAGGTAAAGAAAGAGATTATAGATTATATAGATTGATCTAAACACATCACTTTTTGATCTAAATCTTAGGTGCTGACATTGACACGTTGTGTGTATTTCCAAAATATGTTGAAAGAGAACACTTTTTTACTTTAATGTACAATATGCTCTCTGAACGACCAGAAGTGACTGAGCTTACTGTAAGTGTTTTCTATGTATATACGTACAAGACTAACCTCCCTTCTTCTTATTATAAAATAGTCTGTTGTAGATGCCTATGTACCAGTCATCAGATTGCATTTTTCGGGTATTCCTGTAAGTAAGTAAAGTTGAGAACATGAAGGTCATTATACTCATCATCATCATCATGATTCAGATTGATTTCGTATGTGCACAATTATCACTCTCATCAGTTCCCGACAATCTTGATCTCTCAGATAGCAATCTATTAATTGGACTTGATGAGCGTTGTATAAGAAGTTTAAACGGTTCACGTGTCACTGATGAAATCTTGCGACTTGTCCCTAGTGTACCTGTGTTTCGAATGGCCCTGAGGGCGATTAAACTCTGGGCTAAAAAACGGGCCATTTATTCAAACATCATGGGTTTTTTGGGCGGTGTTGCTTGGGCTATGCTTGTTGCTAAAGTGTGTCAGGTGTATCCAAATGCGTGTGCTGCTACCATCGTTACTCATTTTTTTAGAATAATGTATCAATGGGATTGGCCAAATCCGATTGTGTTGAAGGCAATGGAGGAAGGTCCGTTACAGGTTAGACAGTGGAATCCGAAGGTAAGTTTTTTTTTTTGTGATTCGCTTCTTTTTTGTGCGAGTATATATATGTATGTATATATACAAGGAGGAGAAACAAATGAGTTGAAAACGTGCGTGTGTATATATGTATGTATCTATACACCTTACTTAGTAAATACCATCTATATAGTTGTATCCTGCTGATAAAAGTCATCGCATGCCCATTATTACACCAGCCTATCCCTCCATGTGCGCAACACACAATGTCACCGACTCAACACGCAGCATCATGCTAAATGAATTTGGACGCACTGCAGATATCGCTAACAAGATATTGATAGGAATAAGTAAATGGGAGGATCTTTTTACAGATAGTGATTTTTTCCTAGCCTACAATAACTATCTTCAAATTGTTGCTAGCTCATTTTCATCCGAGACGCAGCTAAAATGGTCTGGTCTAGTCGAGTCCCGCCTAAGACAACTGGTACTCAAACTGGAACTGGATGAGTTATTAAAGCTAGTGCATCCATATATAAAGGGAATTGATCAGGTGCATTATTGCCAGGATGATGATGAGATTTGGGATACAGCGCATGGGAATCATCTAAAGGATAGGACATTTAATGTAGATGAAAATGATAAAATGACGCAAGAGGAAAAGACACTTTTTAGACCACTTTATACCACTACTTTTTATATTGGATTGAAAATCGCACCCATCTCACAGCCTCAATCTGAACCTAGGAAATTAAATTTGATATGGCCAACGCAGGAATTCTTAAAGTCGGCGCGTAGTTGGGATAAATATGTCGTTAATTTAATGAGTATTACAATAAAAAAACTAAAAGGCTCCATGTTGCCTGTGGAACTCGCGGGGGAGAACAGACGACTAAAGAAGCTACAGCTTTCAAAGGTAAAATAGTAATTTAAAATATCCATCATTATTATAATAAATTTAATAATAAATTACATGTGATTATATTGTATTTTACACATTCTCTCTCTACCTGACTCTTTTTTTTTTTTTTTTTGTATATCTTGTATTCTATTGCAGCCAAAAGTACCATCATTCAATGCATCCAATATCATCTGAAGAGAAGACAGGCCATAATGAAGGGTTCAATCATACTGGAACAGGTATTTCAGATAAATGACTTGTCTGATATTTTGTTTTCTTCTTAGCCATACTTTCATAGTACACACATTTATACACCAACAAAAATCAAAAAAACCCGGCTTACCAAGCTATCTCTATACACTTTCTTATACACTTTACAGGTTCTTGTAATTCTCCTTTCTATTATTTACAAACATTCCCTTTGTTCTATTTAAATAAACATACAACAAAAAAGTATAAATGCATCAAAACAATATCATACGTCTTGAAGTATCAATCAATGCCGGAAGCATAGTAGATCAATTTTTCCGATTATCAATTGCTAAAAAGATAGTAGTCTGAGAGCAGATTTGCAGCAAAAAAATTAAAATTACATATCCAAATTTGGTACATAGTCTGGCATACATACCTGATTGACTGTAATTATATATAAATAATAATAACACACTTTCTTTACTTTAACCAATTAATAGATTATAGTAGAATGATTATTAAGATGATTACGAACTATCATTAACTTCCACTTCAATTGTAAACTGATCCCAATAAACACACTCATAGGTATAGTACCTGGAGTATTCCGTATCTTTTGAATTGATACGCCTCTTGTTTGAGATTATAAACTTTTTTATATTTATATATTTTCTTAAAAGTCATATATATATACGTATCTATAGTTTGGAAAAATATGCTTTATTAGTTAAAGGGCCCTTACTCAATGGAGTGGTGTAGAATAGTTCTATTGATCATAATTATAAATACCAATGAATTTTGCTGTGTGCTATCATTTTGAAGACCACAAACCAAAAGCAACAGTTTTGAATAATAAAAAAAAATTGATAAATGCTTGTTAAAATCGATATTTGGCTTTAGAATTTAAAAAGGGTTTAGTAGTAATAGTAAGAAAAAGTTTACAATAATAGTTATTTTTGGAATTGATGAACACAATATTATAATCTCTAGACTACGACACACTCATATTTCAGACTACCTCTCACTTAATTACAGGTGTAGTCTGGACTATGTACCAAATTTGGTCATGTAATTTTAATTTTTTTGCTGCTTGACGTATAGCAAACCACTGGTGTTAAATGCACTGTTTAGCTGGTACGACTCAATCAGCTATGCTTTTTAGCATGCTTTACGCACTTTTCTTTCATTCTTTCTTTTTTTTTTTAAAAAAAAAAAAGAAAAAAAAAGTCTTCCAGATGGTTATAGAAATAAAGACTCTGTTAAACTATTTATTAAACTGGTTTATATTTAATATGGTAAGAATATTTGGCCTTTTCTCTGTGTTCAGTGTATTTCATCAGGTTTAAAAGGTAAATTGGTATATAATTGTAAGACCCTGTTCGAACAGTTTTCCTTAGTATACACCTAAAATGGTAGATTGTGGTCAAGGAATGTTCTTTAAACTATTGTATAAAAATATTGAAATATATATATATTACTAAGCATGCTTGGCGTACCATCAGTGGTTCAAAAGTTTGTTTTTTATTGATTTATCGACAACTTTGCTCCTCTCGGAGCAAGTTCTGACTGTTCTAATTATAATATACTGTCAAGGACGATGGGTTTACAGTAAGATGGGAGTATTATATTTATAATTGAAAAGAGGGCTGAAGAAATAGTAATAGAAAATGGGCAAAGTGTAGAAAGTATGTAAATAAAAAAAAACATTGATCTTAGATCAAAGGAAAAAACATATCAGTAGGTTTGGAGGTTGGCAGTTGTGACTTTGAAAGAATTCGTAGGGCGGTGACTATAGATATGGAATATATTCATAGTCATGTCTTGGAGTTGCGTTGGTGTTTACTTAGTGTATTTTTAATGACGTACCATCAGTAACGCCTGGTTTCAATACTCTTTTTGTATATTGAAGATGTTTATGCTTGTTATTGTGTCCTTTTAACTTTTTTTGCGTTTGAAAACATCTAGTGTTGTATTAGTATGCGTATTGATATAGCTATTTTATAATTTAATATTCACTCTTTTTTTTTAGTTTATTCTTGTTGTAATATGCCTATCATAAGCTAGATTTACATCTATATTTTGTATTTGTAATAATCTTTTAGATTAGTTTTCTTTTAACCGATAATGGTTGATTGAATTAATATAAATACTGTGATATTTATCACACAATAAACTTCATCTTCATTCTCACATTTATTTTTATCTTATTACTTAAAGCGTTGGCGCAGAAACCCCTTTATTTCTTAAAGGTCCATAAATATTATATTGATTCAGTTCTATAATTCTGTGTTATTATTATTTTTATTCCATTCTATTTTATATCTTTCTTTCTCTCCTCTTGTATAAAAAGTCTATCTTTTATATAAGAAAACTATAGTAACAATACTTTAAATTGTTGGTGCTCGCTATTACCTGTTAAACACTTGAAAAGCCTTAATCAGCCATTATAGTTGAGTAAAGAAATGATCAAAGCGAAAAAAAAATTGCCGGTAGCTGGAATCGAACCAGCGTCTGCTCGGCCACAACGAGGCGTACTGCCACTATACTATACCGGCATTTCTTGAAATTGTAGATTTTAAAAATATTAAATTGATAAAATACACGTGATTGTCACATGACAATCACGTGTATTTTATCAATTTTGATCAATCAAGTTGCATTACTGTTGCTAAAACGAAAAAAGTAGCAAAGAAATTTAAGTTTTTAGTTTGACAGTTTAGATCTTATTACCAATCTATTTCTTTAATAATAATTAATTAGGTAACATTATTGTTTAATAGTTTAATTTATTTTAACTTTTTGTGATCATACAAACTAACACAATAATGCAAAAAAAAAAAAAGAAAGTCGTAAACAATATGGTTAAGGTTTTATGCCAAGACTCGTTTTTTTTTTTCTTGGTGAAAAAAAAGGGCTACAGTTTGTGTACATTTCAATTAAGGAATTTAATTGATATGAAGCTTTTGAGTTGTATCCATTTTGTTTGTATACATCAAAGATGTTCAGGGGGGGGTTTTTTTGACTTTTTGACTTTTTGTGAATAAACATATGGTTAAAGCTATCCTTGGTAAAATATCCACATTTTAAGAAGGGATGAATATATAGCAAAAAAATGAATTTTTAGCATAAGCAGTGCCTGATTCTCTTTTTTT